ATGCAGTTGCACAACCAACAATTCGAACGGAATTTCCAGAACTCTGTCAGCCCAATTCAAAGGGAAGGCAACTGAAGCTGGTCGATACGAGAGGAATGCATTGCCCCAAGCATGCCGCTTCGCCTCTTTTCCGTTCAAGTTTTCTCAATATGCGCCTTTGCTTCAGGTTGTTTAGGAGCTTGTAGTGCGCAGAGCTCAGAGTCTGGCAATCCAAGTTCTAAGCTAATTAATACTCGCATACATAACTCAAGTAAATACTTAAGCAACCCGCAAGCTGGCAAACTATGCTGCTAAGGGAAGCCTTCCTCCCACACCCGTGCCCCCACCCGCACCCTCTGAGATACTTTTCTTCCAGTGACATCGCGTGCGCCGCTGCTGACATTAGAAAGTGAGCGTGAACTTTCCCATTGTTGTTTGTTGTTGGCCTGAGGTACGACATTGCTAGCCGCATTATTGCTGTGCCACAGTGCAGGCGTACACCTGTATATATGTGTGTGTGTGTGTGTGTGCCACGCCCCTTGTACTATGTCTGATTTTGGCATTTGCATAATATGTATACCAAGCCGCATTTAATTGTTGCCATTTGGCCAGACGGCTTTTCAATTTGCATTGTTGTTTCTTGAAGGTTGCACTTGTTATACCCTGAACCCATTGAAAATGGGAAATCAGGGTATAATGGTTTTGTGAAAAAGTATGTAACGGGCAGAAGGAGGCGTGGCAGACCCCACAAAGTATATATATTCTTGATCAGCGTGACGAGCTGAGTCGATATAGCCCTGTCCGTCTGTCCGTCCGTCCGTCCGTCCGTCCGTCCGTCCGTCCGTATGAGTGCGTCGATCTCAGAAGTTATAAGAGCTAGAGAGCTGAAATTTGGCATGCATACTCGTGAGTACCATACGCAGTACGAGTTTGCTTTATTTTTTCGATAAATCGTCCGATAACTTTTTTATCGAGAATAATCGAAAAATTGATTTTGTTTTTGAAGCCTAATTTGAACACTTTTAGACCTGGAGTCTTCAAATTTGCGTTGTATATAAAGTTAATCGATACAAAGATTTTGTGATTTACAGATTTTGGATACCACGCCCCATTTTCCCCCAATTTGTAAAAAACGCATTTCAAATACTAGAGACTTGTGCTTTGGAATGTACACATATATTCACCATATGATTACACTCTAAAAGTTTCATTAAGATCGTATGTCTACAAAAGAAATTATTCAACAAATAAATTCTCATAATATTGCCCACATTGCAGCGCAGCCCAAGCGCAGTCGCTGCTTACTGCGCAGTTAGCAGAGCGCGTGCTTATAAGTGCATGTGTATGTATGTGTGCATAAAAGAAGTGCAGAATGATTAGAATATCAACTTGGAGGGTTCAGGGTATCTCCTAGTCGAGCCGTCTCGACTGGAGCCTTCTTACTTGTTTTTTCTCTCTCTTAATTGCAGTTACCGACACACACACACATGCAGACACCAAGACAGTTTCTGAGCTGCACTTGTGCCAGTTTTTGTTTGTAGTTTACTTTCGCATATGAAAGTGCATCTGATTCGCTTTTGCTTTTGCCTTTGCTGTTTTGCTTTTGCTTTCTTGCTTTGTCATCCCGCCCCAAGGGCCCAAAGAGCCCTAAATGAGATTTTGCAATGGCTTCCACTGGTCTTACCCGCTACAACTGACCTGTCCGCTCGGCCTTGAGTCCATTTGAAGTGCTCGTTGTTTGTAATTAGATGCAATAATTGGCTACCTTTGCTGCTATTCAAAACCTGATTTCATAGTTATTGCAGAACGAAATTTGCCATGAGCCATTTATGTTATGTAACTGCATAATATGTAACCACTGAATCCCTATTTGGACATTTATTATAGCCAATATCAACTTGAATTTAATCGTCAAGTATAGCGATCTATGCTAGTCTAAAAACTGTCGAGTCCACTCTTTCCCTAAGTATTTTACCCTTGCTGGGGGAATACTCAGCGACGTGAAGGACTAGATGAACGAGAGCGGTGCCTGCTGCACTCTAAAGAATCAGCTATATTAATCCATGCTGAACTGTTCATTCGCTGCTTTTATTTGAAATTCTTTAGAGGAATATTCTGATAGTCCTAAAACCCCTTTTTTCCTAGGAATAACTTATGTCTGTTATTTTTTTCGGTTTGGCGTTGAGTATATAGTTATAGCTTGAGCAGAAAAGAATCTTTATATGCATGCAAATGCAATGCACAAGAGATATTCCTCTCGCCTATTTCAACATATTCTAATATCAATTATCCATTCTATTCAATTTAGCAAACACAATTTATACCAAACTTGTTGACAAGCATGCAAAATGTATTATGCATACGTTCAGCTCAGTATATTTTATTTATATTTATCTCACTCTCTCGATAAAAGCTTTCATTAAAGTGCGCTAATAGCATTCTAATAAACGACAGCAATTAAACTTGAAATCTAGTATATCCGATAATTGTGTTGACCTGAAAAAGGTGAGCAAAGGTGCATGAAATTGATATTTATCTTTACACACCAACCACGCTAGCATTGTAAGTATATATGTTTATATGTATGTACATACATATATGTATGTATACACATACATTGTGGCGTTACACGACAATGGGAACTACATTGATACAATAATGCTGATAGGAATATAATTTATTAGACCATAAATATCATATTGAATATGTGCATTAAATATGTATGTATATATGTACATAAATACTTATTTCTATATAGACCATCACGTACGCATCGTAACTTACTATTTCTCGCGCCTAACATGATTATTTCTGTGAAGGGCGAATTTTCGGTGTATTTCGAAAAAATCATCAGAAACAGATGAACTCTGACCGAAAGTAACGGGATTTTTTCGTAGTTCTTTTCTTTGCACCCAACTCGGAGCAAAAAGTGGGCATCTTTTCATCTTTCCACCGGGAAAAGTAGCGTCTCGCTTGATTTATGTGTGGCGGAGTGCAGCACTGCTTTTTGCATGAGCATAACTGTACATGTGATGTATGATGTACAAATTGTGAATAATCAACTATAAATATAAATTAAAGTATAATTAATTTTTGCACCTCCCGAGAAGTTGGCAGACGCATAGAGCCGACACTTGGAGCCACTATTTGTGTACCTATGAATATATGATGATGATGATGATGATGATGATGATGTTGATCAAAGCAGTAGACAAAAGAAAACAAACGCATTCAATTTACATAAGGCCTTCTTGAAATTGCTGCTCCAGCTGCTGCTTTTTCTAGGGGCGTTGCTCATGCGCGTTCCGCTTTTGCGCTTCTGGTGCGGCATCACCTTAACGCCAGTGGCTCCTCCAACAAGCACGTCTCTTGTCTGCTTGCCTGCTGTTTGCTTGCTGTGTCTCTGTTGTCTCTCCGCTCGTTTGGTGTCATTCGTTACGGTGTGCGGTCTTTGTTTTGTTATGGTTTGTTTGTTTATACACATACTTCGCCGTTTGGGCAACAATTGTTATTATGTTTTTATTTGCTTTTTTCATTTTTGTATTTGTTATTATTCTTTACGGCATTGTAGTCAATTTGTGAGCTGTAGAATATGATGGCAGCAACAATTTGGCTGGCCGACCTTTAACGCCTCGTGCTATGCATAAACTGTCGCCCATAATTCGGCTTCATGTTTAATGTTCCGCGCTGCGTATACGTAATATGGCACCTCAGTCGCCCCTGGCTCGTGGCCCTGTGACGTCAAAGGCTCTAACTAGCCCAACGAGGTCAATGTGGGTCAAAGTTGACATTGCTGATGGGCTGTCGATACCGGCGCACCCACACACACGCAGTTACTATCTTATCAGCGCGCAGTTGGAGCAATTTTCAGCGGGCCTGGTTTGTGTAGACATTAACCCAAAAAGTGAAAACGCGCACACACATACACACAATCGGGAATGCGTACATGGTTTTTGGGGCAAGCACACACTCTATCGAATTGGAGCATCAGAAATGGGTCATCCAGACTGTGGCATACCGCGTACGGCACATCAATGGGTATCACAAATGCTCGAAGGTGATCGAACTCAGCATTTGTTGCGTCTTAGCTAAAACCAAACCATGAAGTGACTGATGTCTGAGCGACAAATTTAAATAGCGAGAATGACAGCATGATTAAAATACCCAACAAATACAGAAATCTTAAGAATTATTCTAAACAAAGATTATGAGGAAAAAACATTTTCCTTTCTTCTGAATGCCTCAGCAAAGTTGTAAGAATTATATTACAAAGAATTTCCGCAAAATGAATGAAAATATTGAAATGAAATTCAGAAAACGAAATTGATAAAAATGCTGTCCGCGTCAACAAGATTTGGTTACAGGGTATACAAACAAGTAAGCAAAAAGTTGTCCGACACTAAAGAGCGTAACGAATATAATATCTACATACTTGTATATATATATGTGTATGTGTGTGTGTGCATATGAAAAGATGTTGCTATTGTTGGAGTCTGGCCCCACAAATGGCATGCTAATTTTGGAGTACAAGAGGGGGCTATTTATGACCTGACTTTAATTTGCCAGCTTACAGCTCGGAGTGGGCGTCACATAAACACATAAAGAGATGTATTTAGAACGGGATAGGCACATTTGGTTATGTGTCATCTGCCGGGCCGAGAGCGAGTCGTCGACCTTCGCTCACATCCGAGGGGGGAGGACGACACCAAAATTGGCAATGCCTGGTCGGGTCTGATCGGGCCTGGTCATGGGCCGCACAGAGAAACTTGTTTTCTTTTTTTTTTTTTTGTTTTTGTTTTTAGCACAATGTAAAGCACTTCCACGACTGTTCAATGACTCGATGACTTCATCGACCCCCTCCCTCACCCTCTCTTTCTCTCTCCCTCTCGCGCTTACCTCTCCGGCTTCTGCTGACTCACAGGGCGGATGAGCAATGATTGTTGTTGGATTTTCTTAAATGCGATCGAGAGCTTGTTAACATTAGAGCTCACGTTGAACTGCCTCCTTTTCTTATCTTGCAGCTCCGCATTGCCGGGCCGAGGCCACAGCAAGTGCCGCATCATGACTTTCTATTGGTGGTCGCACTGGTTCTGGGTAACCTGCCTGAGCGGTAAGTTCCTCCGATTAGCCCAGTGTATAGTGCTGAACCGCTTCCTTCTTGCAGTGGTCCTGCTGCCCAATGGCATCACACATGTGCACACATATCCCAGTCACGAGATTAGCCTAGAATCAACGACGCAGCAGGAGGAGCGCATGCTGGAGCGGACCGAGGCAGCCAGCCATGATGCTGACAGCCGTCGACAGACAACGAAGCTATACCAGACCACGGCCAGCCAGACCTGGGCGACGGTCACACAGCGCAATATCATGGACTTGACCATCAAGACGACAGCGCCGCCCAAGGCGACGCCCGCCGTCGCCATAGTCGAGAGCCAGCCGGAGGGAGTCGACGATATTGAAGCGCCCTTCTCGGACTCCATCGATGATGATGACGATGTTGGTGGCGATGTTGATGTGGATGTTGACGTGGATGTGGAGGACGATGACAACACCGAGGCAGGCATGGACGATGTGGACAAGGAGGTCGAGGAGGCAACGGTTAAGCTGACGCTCTCCCACAATCAGTTCGAGTTCAAGCGCTCGGCAGACTTTGCGTCGGTGCCAAAAGGCGCTGCCGCTGTGCCCGTCGAGCCACTGAGCAACTATACGAATTTCAGCCGTAGCACAAGGTAAGTGCCCCACGCACCACTCACGCTCCAATTCGCCTTGTCTAACCGTTCGTCTCATGCAGTACAAATAGCAGCTCCGCTTGCAACGCCACGTGCATGGCAGCTGCCTCGAGTGCCAGCGGTGCCGCCGCTGTGAGCACCACAGTTGCAGCAACATCCACATTAGCAGCAGCAGCAGCAACAACTAAATCAACAGCAACAGCAACAGCAACAGCAACAACGACTTCAACAATTAGCCCGCCAACGAACAGCACCGGCCAAGCCGTGCCGGCCACCCCCTCGACGCCAAAAATCAACACCGAGTGGCTGTCCGATGAGCTGCAGCGAGTGTCGTTCACGCTGGAGAACGCCAACAAGGAGGACGAGCTGCGCCGCGCCGAAAGCGAGCATCGTTCGCGCAAATCCAAGGTCCTCTCCGCCGAGTATAAGCACATCAATCGCTACATCAACTACTCCAGCGACACGAAGAGCCTTCTCGCCCGCTCCGCATCTGCGGCGCCCAGCATTTCGGGCTACGAGGCCGCGGACGAGGGCAACATATCCTCCGAGGCGCTGGCCATACAAGTGAGCATCGCCTGAGCTCCCGATGTGAGCATTTGTTCAGTCTCCTCTTGCTTTGTTTCTGCTTGCAGCGCACCTATTTCCTGGACGCTGGCGCCATCTCGGCCATTTGCTTCACGGTCTTTGGCATCTGCTGCACGGTGGGCACCATTGGCATTGTGCTATATCGTCGGCGCTACGTCAACAAGCCGCAGGCGCTTAGCGAGCCCGACTCGAGCGTGTACATTGATGATAGCACGATGCGTGTAAGTGTAAGGATTCGTTGGCCAATTGCCTGCGGGCAGCGTGCACTATACGCCCGACTAACTGGTTTTCTCCTTTGCTCTCTGTTTAGGATAACTCGGATGAGATGTACAGCCTGGACAATGACTCGTTCCTCAACTCCCTGGAGGCGATGACAATACAGAACTATTGGACGGACACGGTCAAACATACAAAGCTTTAATTTCGATTGTCTGCTGTGGAAGCCGGAAGCCTCCCCTCATCGCCATCGCCATCGGCATTGTCATCGTCATCGTCGCGTCATCATCTGCTCAGTACTCCCACTGTGGCCCAGATACTGACCTATCCTGACCTTCACAAACAGCAAACACACATCATAATCATTAAGTAGGCGCCACGGAGCGCAGTGTAGCATTTAAGCAGCGGCCCTCCCCAGGCGGGGCCAGATGTATGTATTTACTAATTGATAGGCATTCGTGCAGCTCAAAGGGCTTGTAGGCAACCAAGCGAGCGACTAGTTTTAAGCCAACTACCAAAATTATGTTTAGTACGTCTATATAATATATACTTTAAGGGCGCAATGTTATTTGCATAGTTTTAACTGTTGATACTGTCTGTCTGCAAATTGAATATTAAAGGATTCTCTCCAAGTGCACATACATATTTATTAAAATATGTGTGTCGGTATGTATGTACGTGTGACAGCATTCCTGGTTTATTTGTACTCTCAATTATTTCAGTTAAGTTCGACCTACTTTCCCTCTCTTTATACTTATATACGTATGTATATACTCGATTACTATAGGAACTTAACTTAATATTTATATTTTAATATTTATGCAACTCTAATTTTAATATTGTTGAGTATTTTTCCAATAACTTTATTTCGTTCTTTCGAGTTTCGTGATTAATATGTATGTTTGTAATATTTATACAATTTCGATTTGTGTCTGTCCAACAATTAAACGCAATCATTCCTTCCAGTTTAGCATATAGTGCAACTTTATATGAAATTATTGTATTACAAATAAATTAAACATACTACTAAAAAATTCACACACAATATAAACTGTTTACTGCCACTAGACTTTTTGTCAATTTTGCTTGTCGAAATTGTAAAGACACGATTTTAACTAATATGTCCATTATTCAATTTACGAAATGGTAATTATATAAACGATCCTTTCTAATAAATTGTTACCAATGGCTTGTTAGTTACTGGGCTACTTTTAACCAAAATATTTTGGTACGCCTTCTATTGAATGTTTTCTAAAACGGCTTTGATATAGAAAAAAGTATATCTCTGGTACATAATAAATATGAATATTAAATAAATCGCTTGTGGAACGCGTTGATCGATTGGCATTTTGAATTATTAAAGGCAGATGCCAATTTAATTCTGGTTACACATATGGTTTGTGTTATTTAGAAATATTGCTTTTGCTGACAATATGTATCAATTCAAATATGCGCCGATAACAATTGCCGCAGATATCGATAGCTGACGTCCCTCATTCCGATAGTTCCACGATAGCTATCGCAAAACGTACAATATATCGAATAGATGACGAGTCTCAATCGACAATCGTGCTGACTGCCGGAATGATATTTTCATATCGATACATTCTGCCATCCCCACACGACACTGCATTGCATTTCGAACTCAAGCATAAACACATCCATTTGTTGCAATTATATGCGAATTTCGTGTGTATGGTGGATCAAATAATACAATACCTTAAAATTAAATGTGAAGTTGTGTCTGAATAATCCTGTAGTGTTTTATAAAGGTAAGACAACGACGCAGAAACTGAAACTCCATTGGCGTTGTGAATGGTCGCGCGTTCGACGTCATTTTGTTTGCGACTACCAGAATCTTGCTCTCATCTACATATATTTGCAATGCTGTGCATTTCATATGAAACTTCTTGTTGTGTTTTCATGTTGGATTCGACTAGCATCCCTGGCACCAGTGGCAAGCATTGGCATCCATGGCTTACTTTGGCGTCTATATACCGCCATCCAAGGCGGGCTTTGAGGGCAATTTAACCCAATGTGCGGGCTCCATAGCCGCGGACAACATCAAGATTTCCCCAGAATGTCCGGCTAGTGGGGCAGAAGAATCGTCAGCATATGAGGATCCTGAATATCCACGTAAGTTCTGTGGCTGCAGCTTAGGCGTGTCGCCATATTTGTGTGAATAAGTGCATGTGTACGTCCATACATCCATACAAATCTAAATATGAGCGTACATACATACAGACAAATCAACATGCATACCTATATACGTATAAGCGACCATGAACACATAAACAAGCACGCACATACGCACATACGCACTTGTTTGTTTGTATTGGAGCTTGTTGTTTCGTGCCGTAACGTAATCAAAGCGCGCGTTTTAAGGAAGCGACGGCGTCATTTGTTGCGCATCGCAGTTACCATTTTCGATATGCTTGCAGATGGTATTTATGTATAACGTTGTCAAACAAAGTTAAGCGCACTCAGGTGAGAATACTCAAGGTATATAGAGCTAACTACAACATAATGCGCATCAGCTCTGATTTCCTGTTAAAAATTACTTATTTTTTGTTAATAAACAAACATATATTTGCAATACTTATTGCAATTTGAATCTAACAGCTCTATATTTGAGCGCACTTCAGTTTGTTTGGCTTGGCAAGTTATTCGGGAAATCATCAAATTAATCCGTGTACTTGTTGCATTTCGTGAAGCTACGAAATGCACTTTGTGTTTCTTAAATCCCATACATAACTATTGTTGTTTTTCTTGAATCACAGCTCTATTTTTATAGCTCCCTGATGGGAAAAAAGGCAGCACGAAATAAATTCCTAAATTCGTTTGGGCCAGATATGCGAATGAAAATATAAAATCAATTGAATTTCGTGTTGGGCTTTGATGTGTTGCTGCCTACCGGCTGCATCATCTCATCAATTGCACGGCTCCGATGGATACACGAAAGTGGGTGTGGGACTAGCAGCGTCATCGATGCACAAGTCGTAAACAAATATGGGCAACGTACGATTACGGTCGTGAATTGAATCGGTTTGCTGCACCTCTGACAACGTAATCTAATTAAAATGGGCTTTGTTTATTTGCGAGCACGGACAAGCTGCAAGTTTATATCGGAAAGTGTGTGGCTGAGTTCTGTGGAGCTGCAGATATTCCACTTCAGTCAATGTCATCGATTAACTAGTTCAAAATAAGCAAATATTAGGCAACCTTAGGGAAACTATATTTTATCTGTCAAGAACTGCCATGTGAATAATATTAGAATATTGTCAAGTAGAGCCCAATGTTCTATTCAAATCCCACTTCCGTCTGTGTTTCAATTCCCTCTGAGTTAAGACTGTCATTGAAACCGATTGTAAGAGTATTTATTCTGTTATTATTATTCTCCCCAGCGAAAGGGTTTGCTTATTTCGATTTGCCACACATGAAACGCTCTTATTTGATTATTATTATAAACAAATAATTGCTGGATGGCCGGAGTAAATGTTTACGAGTCTTTGCTTTGCTAATACAAATATACAAAGTGAGTGAGGAGCGGAGCTCTCCTTTTCAAATAACGTTCATATGGACGCCCCTCATCCCAGCACATCAAATGCAATATATATACCAATTTCTGTCTATACATGCATATGTATCATAAGTACACTTCTGTATTTATTTAAGTTTCTATTTTAAATAAGTATGTGCTGCTGAGGCGGCCAACAGAAAGAGTGCACGACGATGTTTCCATATTTAAATCGACCTGGCTCGCCTAGTCGAGGTGGCATGTTCGTCGCACCTCAATCCAATCGCCAGCCTCGTTCGCCCAGCAGCTCACTGAGTTCAGAGAGTCTTTCCCAAACATAAACAAGAGCAATAATAGAGAAAAATTGCGTGCCAATAACTGCGTCATACGCACATTCTCGCGACGTCTTCGTCGCCCACGGATTGTTTTCTGTTATTTCCCTTTGTGGTCGGTCGGTCGAACGGTTTTGTTCCGCGTCAAAAGCGTCCGTTGCCCGCTTGCCACTGTCCACTGTCCGCTGTTCGCTGTACGCTTGCTGTTTCCCGGTGTCCCCACGCGACCTCGGCGACTCTCGCCGTTTAGCATGGTGTTTGTTTTGCTCAGCGCATTTCTTGCTCTGTCTGGCATCGCCCTATCCGCACAGATGGCGTGACCAGACAGCCAGCGAGTGACAACCGCTGACAGATTTGTTTTTGTTTCATTCGCTCGATCAGTCGCTCACTCGCTCGGCTGCCAAACTGTTGAACTGTTGAAATAACTTGCTGAATACCCTGAATCCTTTCCAGCCGACTCGCCGCTTTGGCTGATATTCAAGGAGAAGTCCAAGGCGCTGGACGTCTTGCGCCACTACAAAGAGGCGCGTCTGCGCGAATTTCCCAACCGTGAACAGGCAGAGAGCTACGTACAATTCGGCTTCGAGAGCATCCAGTCGCTGAAGCGCTACGGCAAGGCGAAACCTGCCAGCAGTAAGTATATGTCGGAACGGAATCTATTTACTCATACGTAGAATAACAACAAACAGAAATATCAAATAATTATATTGTATATATATATATATATTTCCTCAAATTGCCTTTGCAGAGCCGGTGCAATTGCCTACAACGTTGAGTTACAAATCGACTTCTGGCAACGCAGAGAGTCCGTTTTCTTCGTCACCCACCAACAGCACGAGTGCGTCCCCCTGCTCCGGACTCCCATTGGCCATGTCGAACATGCTATTATCCTTGCCGAACAGCAGCAACAGCAACAACAACAGCAGCAGCAGCAACAACGCCAATTGCATTGGCAGCAACAGCAGCACTCCGCTAAATGGCGAGCGTCCGCCGTTCCGGGCGCCCACCAAGCAAGAGCTAGTTGAGTTCCGCAAGCAAATCGAGGCTGGCAATTATGAGCGGGTCAAGCGTACAGTTTGGGACAACCCCCGCTATTTGATCAGCAGCGGGGACACGCCGACTAGCTTGAAGGAGGGCTATCGCTACAACGCCATGCACATCTGTGCCCAAGTCAATCAGGCACGCGTCGCTGAGCTCATTCTGAAGATAGTCTCGGATCGCGAGTTTACACAGTTGTATGCGGGCAAGAAGAGCAGCAGCGAAATGTGCGCCGCTCTAAATGTGAATCTGCTCGATTATTATCTCAACATGCCCGACAAGGGGCGTGGCGAGACGCCGCTGCACTTCGCCGCCAAGAACGGGCACATTGCCGTTGTTGAAGTGCTCACCTCGTATCCGCAGTGCAAGTCGCTGAAGAACACGGAAGGTATGCACCCCAAGGACGTAAGTAACCCATTGGAGTATGCACTTGTATACTTGCTTAACGGCTTTCCTCCAATCAGATTATCTGCCAACGGGCACCCAACGCCAGCTTAGTGGTGATCAAGAAGCTGGAGCTCCTCCTGTCGGAGCCACACTATGTGCCCGTTCTACGCGCTGTAGGCAACCAACTGCCACCGCAAGTTGGACATCCCTTTACGCCCAATGATCCGCCGGTTAGTGTTGTTGTTGATGCTGAGTCACTTGCAACTCTAATCAAATATAAATTCTTCAAATTCATAGATTTTGCAGCACAAGACCGACGAGTCGGACCGCCTGAATGTGGACCTTAAAATTAGCGCCTTGGCTGGGCCTATGCCGCGTGAGCAGGCCATGAACTTATTTCGCCGCTGGAAGACGCCGCCGCGTGTTGGCAGCAATGTGGCCTCGCCGTTGGCCAACTCAAGCTACATCTCGCCCATGAAGTCGCCGACCAAGGCATTTCTCAACGAAAGCTCTGGCATTGTGTCGAGGCGGCGCGCGTTGTTCAGCCCACGAGCCGCGGCGTTAAATGCATCGCTGAACGAAGCCAACGGAAATCACAAGGCCCAACAAGAGGAAGGCCAACTGCCCAACACCGATGTGGACCCCATTGAGCACAACAATAATTGCACGTATAACAGATGCGGCATGCCCTCAACGCCCATACGTCAAATGAAACCGGACTTGTTTTTAAAGTATCGCGACAACTCCGCGTCTCCGATTATTATGGATTCATCACTGGACGTAGCCGAGCTGAGTCTGAACATGTCCGTGTCCACATTGAACGACAGTTTCCGCGAGCGTCACATCAAGAACTCGGACATTGAGAAAGGCCTTGAGGTGGTCGGTCGACAGCTGGCGCGCCA